ATAATAATAATAATAATAATAATAATAATAATAATAATAATTATTATTATTATTATTATTACTATTATATTTCCCAGCTCAAAACAACATGTGCTAGAGTAAGAGTTTTTTCTTTTTCTGGTTTTTAGACAGAAAAGTGTTTCTACCGGTGGTTTGTCAAGCCCACTCACCTATGTGCAGCTCAATTCAAAGTTAGGGTAATTAGGCAATATTACATAACAGTGGTTTGTTCTGGAGACAATCCAAAACTAATATTGTTTAAGGGGGCTAATAATATTGACCTTAAAATGGCTTTAAATAAATTGAAAACTGCTTTTATTCTAGCCGAAATAAAACAAATAAGACTTTCTCCAGAAGAAAAAATATTATCAGACATACTGTCAACATTTCCTTGCTCTGTTAAACATCATTTGGGAAACATTAGAAAAATATTCACAGGATGACGAATCATTTTGTCTTCAGCTGTACCTGCAGGTTTGTTATGTGACAGTGTTCAGCTGTGAAACTGAGGACAGCTTCATCGCTAGCAGACTCGCATGTGCTGAGAAACAGTGTCTGTCAGCCTTATAAGCGCTGCCGTGTTGCCATGGCGACCAATCCCTTATATACGGTCTGTCCTTTACAGCGTGTGAATGAATGATCTGTTCCGGCATCATTGATCTGCTGCCGCTGAGATGCACTCAATGCTGCGGCCTTTTGAGAAATGCTCAATAATGGAAACAGCCATTCAAGGCTCACTGCACAGAGCCTGCCATGACAAATCCAGTTAATTGTGTAAGACATTTGGGGAAATTTTGAATATATGAATCAAACCAGGGTAAAAAGTAAACACTAAAACACACAAAAAAGTTTGGTTTAAGTCATAAGTCTGCTTAAGTATTAATATTTTAAAAAATTTGACAATACACAACATCCATTCATTCATTTCCTTCAGTTTAGCTCCTTTAATCTTCAGGTGTCAACACAGTGGAATGAAACGTCAACTATTCCAGCATATGTTTTACCCAGTGGAAGCCC